GTTTTTACTCTGCTGTAAAATTTCCCAGGAGTCCAACTGAGAAAACTTTAGTAATGATTATGTTTCTCTTTGAAAATGGAGTAACTTTTTAAATGGTCTAAAGTTAATTGACTCTATTCAGTTAAATTGCATTGACCTCTTTTCAATACTACTCTTTCCGTAAAGAATTGGTGAAATGTTTAACAAAGTAACTAATCTTTTATCATTTATAAAATTTTCCTAGTTTGTTGCTGCTCACTTCCACATACCTAATGATGGATTTCTATGCTTGCAGTGATTTGGGTTTCAGAAAGTCATTTTCTCTATTTCTAAAGAATGTGTTAGTATCTAAATAAATATTTTTTGGTAATTATTCAAATTACGGAAACATGTTCTTGTAAAAAATTAGAATATAGAAACAAGCAAAAAGAGACATCACCCATAATTTAAATTTTCCAGGCTTTTCTTTGTATATATGTACCTGGATGACCTGTATTTAAATTTCCAACTTCAGAAAGTTACTTAACTCTTCTCTGTCCCAGTTTCTTCATCTGTAAAATGAGTACCTATCTCAAAGGGTTATTGTGAGGGTTAAATGAGTTAATGCAGGTAAAGTGCTTAGAATATTGACTGGCCCCTACTAAGAGCCACATGTGGTTAAAAAAAAACACACACACACAGAAATTTAATTATTGAAGTTTTGGAGGCTTGAAGTCTGAGATCAGTATACTAGCATAGTTGGATAAAAGTCTTCTTCCTGGTTCATAGCCAGTGCTTTCTCTCTGTGTCCTCACATGATGCACGGGCTAGAAAACTTTTATTATGAAAAATTTCAAACATGTGAAAAATAGAGTAGTGTTATGAACTTCGGTGTACTTATTTATTATCAACATCTAGATAATTCTTGTTTTATCTATCATTCCCCACCCCTCACCCCCCACCAGAGGTAGACTGGAATATTTTATAGAAAATCCCATTTGTCACATCATTATCCCATAAATATTTCAGTCTGTACCATGTTAATATTTGCTAAGAAGTAAATTCTTTTTAGAGAACCAGTGCACAAAATTTGAGTTATTTTTGAGGGGAGGAAAAGTAAGTAAAATACCTATAAAATACAGGTGCGTTTTACTAGATTTTAATTAACTGAATGGTATTTGAAGTAAGATTAAGAATATGGAGATTTTAGCTATTTAGATTAGAAATTTATTGGTCAGTAAGATCTTTAAAGTGAGTTGGCATCAGTTTTATTACAAATATACTATAAAGATTATATTGTATCAACATAAAATATTTATTCAAAAAATGTGCTGAGCAATTTGAGTAATATTGGAAAATCGTAATATTGGAAAAAAGCCATCTCATAAAGGAGCTAATATGAAGACTTCTTTGAACACAGATCGGATACTATAAAAACTAGAGATAAGTAAATCTTTAGATTTTGAAAAATAACTTTCTAATCTTTATTTCCTTATATATTTATATGTAAATATACATACAATATTATATAAAAGATTATTTAAGAATAAATAGAGAAACTATTGTAACAAACCAGGCATTATTCAAGTTGGTGGTTTTATTTTCTTACTTTAATGCCTGGTTCTCCTGGACAACAATCAGATCTAACTTGGAATTTCCTGCCTTTGATCTTATTTCAAAATCTGTGAGTAAGTAGCATGTGATATAACTGAGAAGGAACTCCATGGTAAAGGCAGAAATTTGATTGCAATTTGATGTATTTTAGTAAACTGCAACTCGTAAGATCTCCAGAATTCATAGTTACCTAAATTCATTCAGCACTTCAATTATAGATCTTAAAATAACCGGAATATGATACGGTATTGTGGACCGTGCTGTGCTGGTCATGCCTGATGTTATTGATGGTCCAAGGAAACACTGGGTCGGAAGTGAGGAAACCTCCCTTCTCACCTGAGCTACCAGGATGATTTGCCTTTTTGGTTGCTTAACCTGACATTCAGTTTCTTCATTTCTCCAATGAAAAAGGAATGGAATGGAGATACTCTCAGGTCTGCTATATTGTTAAGGAAGCACTAGCTACTGCAACAAAGAGACCCCCAAAATGTAATGATTCAAACAAAGTAGAAGTTTCTTTCTCATGTAGTAGTTGGAGTTCTAGGTATGCAGTCCTGCTCTAAGCTATCATTGAGGGAACCAGGCTCCTTCTATCTTTTCTTCAACGATGTTCTAGAGGCATTGTCGTTATCCACGTGTTTGAATATGAGTTGTTGCCAAGACCTGGTTTTGGTTGGGAAGAGAGTAGAGGAAGCAGTCTGCAGCCTGGGAGTGGCACATCACATCTGCTTCAATTCCACTTGAGAGAACTTGATCACACACATGGCCATACCTAACCATTCTCGAGGCTAGGGTATGTAATGAAGCTGATCAGGCTATAGTTTTATTAATATAGTGGAAGGAGAGCATAGATATTGGAAGGATAGTTAGCCATCTCTGCCACATCTATGCAGTTCTTGCTTCCTCTGATTATAATATTTACCAAGTGGCTCTGGCATTCCACTTAGTTGTTTTCTGTCTTGACTTGATTTTGAAATTACTGGCTAACATTAAAGTACTTTCTACTTATAGCTTAATTTAACAATGGCTCAGTGATCTAGTGATCTCTTTGTGAATGTAATGATTGAAAATTACTATTATATTGCTCTTTAGTGTTAAAAACTTTCCATTGTGATTTCCTCATGATCTTTCCATTTTTATGAATCATATATTTAGGAGGGCTCTAATTGTATTGTTCTGTTAATTTGGGAGTGCAGGCAGCAATTGGATTTTGAAGCTTTTGAAGCGAGAGCTGAGGCTAAGCTCTAGTTTTTAACAGGTGTCAGGTTTTAATACAGGGTGATGAAACAGAACCTACCTGTCAGATTCTAGAGAGGACGTGTAGAAATACTTAGGTACCGAGAAGTGGTAGGTGAGAAACTAAGCAGAAAGAAGAACAAGAAAGATGTAAATATAAACAACAGAACAAGGTGGGTGGTTGAAAAATATAGATGGTTTTATTTTTTTCTTTTCTAAGGGGCAGGGAAGCAACTAAGAGTACCCAGAATATACCCCTGGGCCACAGTCTTGATAAATTTATAAAATCAGCTCAGATTTATTGATTGTGCTCATCAGCTTTTCTGTATTATCAGCCATTAAAAAAAAGTAATAAAAAAGAAAAAAATGTTAAAATATAGGTTTAAAATCCTTAGGCTGATAGTTCTATAGATTAATTTGTGGGAGCAAGAAACTAAAGGCATAATTGATATAATAGTCGATAAAGTGTTAGAAAGAAAAAGAAGTCCTAGATTTTGAGTCCCATTAATGCGAATGAAGTATATATTTTTATTAGCCTGCTGGTGACACTGCTCATGTAAACTAGCTTCAAGAATGTGCTCTCTGCTGCTCTGAACCCTTCGTGTATAGAAATTTGGTAGTTAGGAGTGCTCAAAGTCAAGTCTGTCACTGACGAGTAGACAACTCTACCCACTCCCAGCCAGCTACCCTGCACGATTTCTCTGCCGGCTTCCCATGGTACTTGTGAATATAATTAGGCAGATTTTTCTCTTATTTTTCAGATTGTGCTCTTCATTTGAAGTTTGACGCTAAATACTTTCATGTGATATATGGTTGTATATTTTCATAACCTGGAGAAGCTTTTGAGAAAGTTTGAAAACCTGAAGTGCTTTATCTGTCTGCTGCTCCTTTATTACTTCTAGAGTGCAGTTGATATTTTTTTTTCTTAGAAGTGTTCTTGTGGGGCTGAAACACCTTGACAGATAAGTTAATTGTTTAAGTTAAACAAATTCTTTAATTCGCTTGGAACTTAAAGACCTCATCAAAAATTCTTTTTTTGATTTAGATTTAGACATCCAAAAAAGGCACAATGACAGGTTGAAGATAAATCTTTTAAAATCAAACACTCTTTTTTGTAACATGTGGTTTATGGAGCATATTGTGACTGGTTTCCTTTTATTGAAGAATGCCATGATAAGAAGTAATATATAAATTATGTTTTTTTAATGTATAAAATGCCCAAGGGAAGTTGAGATAAAATAAAGTAGGACACATGCTACACTGCCAATGCTAAAGCAAGCATATGTACTCTTTTTTGAAATTCCCTAAGAGAATATGATTTTTTGATACCTTGAAAGGCCAAATGATTGTGATTAACCTTGAAATACAAGTCTCTAGCAGATGAAAGACACTTAGAAGGTGGCAAAATCAAAGATGATATCAAATCATCTTCCAGCTTGGGTAGTGGTTTTGAGAATGCTTAATGACCATTTGTTAGGAAAGATAAAGTTATGGATTTAAAAACTGTATTCTTTCTCTAAAGTGTCACACCGAAATAAGGGCTTAGGTATTTTTGTAAGCTTAGGTATTTGTCTTCTATTCTTAGGTTTTTTTGATAAAAACAGTGCATTGACCTACGTCCTGAAGACAGTCATCTTTCTGGATGGTTTGTATTCTTCAACTGCCATGATAAGCTATTAGCCTAACCCCAAAGCATTTTGGAATTCCCCCATTTTGGGCCTGGATCAGAGATTATAACCCCATGTAGTTAAATGAAAGCTTGTTCCAAAGTAAGGAATAATTTAAACAATTTCGTGACAAAAGTTTAATTCTTTCTCCCTTAGAAGTTTTGATTGATAAAATATTAATTTCTATTTCAAACATGTGGTCGAACTTTTAAAATTATGTTATTTAGGCTTGAACTTTTAGTTGTTTTTTTTTTTTTTTGGTTTCCGTAGTGTGAATTTATCAGTTTCAGAATTAGCTCTAATGGGAAAAACCAAGAGCTGTTGAGCATTTTAGTTTATTTATCAATCACAGCATTTGAGGGCTGAGGTGATTAACAATGAAGAGTGTGCCAAGGATTACTCTGCAGAACCCCGTGCTTTATTTACATTATTGTCTTTGGAGTGAATTACTTTCATGGTATTTGAGGGATAATTGGTTTGAACTCCTTTTCCAGATTAACAAATATTCTTTTGTTTTGTTTACAGACTCTGCATACATACATGTCGGAGAAGCAAAAATGTCAGATGACATCAGGAAAAGGTTTGAATTTCCAAATTCTCTTATACAATCACAGGT